CACTAAGACGCCAATATGAGCTGCTGCAGATGGATACCACAGAAACTGTTGATGCCTACATCAATAGGATTCTATCACTGACAAACCAGATGAAGATCAACGGTGAAACACAGTCAGAGAAGACAAAGGTGGAGAAGATTTTGAGGTCTTTAACTCCTAGATTTGAACATGTTGTTGCTGTAATTGAAGAAGCTAATGACCTGTCAACAATGACAGTACGGTTGCTGTCCAGTTCCCTACGAGCACATGAACAACGGATGAATGACAGTAAGATTGAAAAACCAATTGAACAGGCTTTACAAGCACAAGCCTCAATTGGTAATCCTCATCACAAGCACAGTAGCTCACGAGGCAGAGGACGGGGACGTGGTGGCAGCTATTTCAGCAAAGGTCGTGGTGGTCAGAATTATGGAGGTGCTGAGCATAACAACTTTGGTTCCAATCAGAACTCCACTCCAAATTCCTCTTGGCAACAAAGAGGACGTGGTCGCGGACGTAGGAACATGAATGGAAGATCAAATGTGGAGTGTTATAACTGCCACAAACGTGGTCATTATGCAAACGAGTGCAGATCAGGAGGTGACAATCAAGCTGCCAATTGTGCTCAAGAAGACCGAAATCACGAACAAGGCGAAGGAGATCATGCATTATTGATGGTATCAACATCAAATGAAAATCCAAACAACCAGACTTGGTATTTGGATACCGGTTGCACGAATCACATGTGTGGTCATAAAGAGTTGTTTGTAGATCTTGATGAATCGTTTCGCACGAGGGTGAAATTTGGCGATGGAAGGTTCGTTCCGGTGACTGGAAAAGGACGGATCCTTATCACATTGAAGAATGGCGATCATAGGTACATCTCAAATGTTTTCTATGTGCCTGATATGAAAAGTAATTTGTTGAGTATGGGACAGTTGGCTGAGAAAGGCTATGTGATGCACATCTCTGGAAATCAGTTTTCAATTTTTGATAAACAAGGTAAGATGATTCTCAAAACCTTTTTATCAAAAAAGCGTATGTTTCCAGTAGACTTTAATAGAGGCGAATTCAAGTGCTTGAGTGCAACGGTGAATGATGAATCATGGTTATGGCATTTACGTTTTGGGCACCTGAATTTTCAAAGTCTGGAAAATCTTGCCAAACACAATTTATGTTGTATCCCCTAGTACTACACCTGATCCTCAAATCCTTAAACAAATCAGTGGAATCATGTCTAAGTGTTACGATCCTTTCTGGAATGAATTCTCCAACCCCAAACCATATTACTTAACCCTGACAACCTTGAGCCTATCTCCATCCTAAAAAGAGCCGTATACCCTGCCCAGACTACCCCACTCCCTACTTGAATCACTCCATCAAAATAACACATTTTGTGCCAAAAAAAAACCATAAGTCAATTTCCTTTTCATTTCCCTAAGCTAGGGCCGAAACACACCAAGCCAAACAACCATATTTCATCACCCAACATCCCACAAACATTGTCCCCCCCTTGTCCCCTAGTACAACCGAAATAACAAGCACAACAAGCCAAGGGATATTTTTGATTACTTTGACCTTTAAACCACCATAAAAGCCACCCTATAAAAGCCATATTTCTCACACCCCACTGTCCCCCACTATGGCAGAATGAATCACTCCCCAACCACCAAATATTCACCTCACTAGCCAAGCCAAAATACCCAACACA